GCCTATTGTTAAATATTTAGAAAATGTGAAAGACAATTATTTAACCACTGTAGGCTTGCAATCAACATTATTAGAAATATTCACACTCTTGAAATTGGCAAATGCCACAAATCAGGGGTTTATTTTTTTCCTTAGGAGAGACAGTTCACTCAAATACTTAAAATGTTAATGATAATTAGCATTGTTTATTTTTTGAATATTGTGCATGTTATTATTAAAATCTCAAATTTGGGGGCCAGGGATATAGCTCAGTGACACAAGTGCTTGCCTGGCAAGCACAAGGCCCTGAGTTTGATTCTTAGTACAGAAAAAAAGAAATAAAATGGTAGAAGAAAAAACAGTGGACAAATCTTCTTAGATATCCAAATTATTGGGCCAGGAATTTAGCTCAGCAAGTGAAGATTGTGAGTTCAATCCCCAGTACCAAGTATAAAATAAAATGTACAATTTTGCTATCCTTTCTACCAAATGAAGAAAATGTTCATTGTCACTAAGTTTTGTACATTATTCTCTAAAGGCAAAATTGTGCCACTAAAAACTTAGTACCAGTATACATTCAAAATGTTAATATTTTCTCACCTTCAAATAATTTATTTTCTATATCATAAAAATACATAAATTTTTTCAAAATAACTTAATTTGAAAGATTTAATAAAATATTTGTTGTACATTTCATTTTTTCAACTTTTCCTAAGAAAATGTGCTAGTCTTTACACCTATTATTTTTATTCTGTTTCTTCCCCATCCTCAGAGTTTGAAAAAAAATTTTTTAGAAAGAATGAGCTAAAAAGAACAAGAGTGGGAACTTTTTTTCACCATTTGGCAGAATCCTTGTCTTGTATTTCAAAAAATTCTGCTTTTTTCTAGAAGATAAACTTATTTTATCTGAGATGAGTAATTTCCACAGAAGGGTTCTGCTCCTTAAATATTCAGATTACACGTACATGTAACTATCAGTAGAAAGCATATTTCACTTAGAAGATCCGGCATGTTTCTTTCCAGTTTTTACAAGCAGCCCCTTCGCCCTCACAAACACGGGAGTAAAGGATAAATTCACCAAGTGCTCCTTTTGGGATGGACAGTATTTACTAGATTCCACTGAGACTAGATGTTCTATAATCCAAATAAGTTTCTTGTGTTTTACTGCTCAGTAACTTCTCATTTTTAGTTTTTCTGGTCATAACATATTACTTTTTATCTTCTAAATATCTGGATAAAACTGATGTGATTTTTTTAGTATATTTACTTCAGAATGTATAATATTTTGAAATCATATTTTTTAAAGAGATATTAAACTTTCACAGTAATTAAAAAATTGTATTAATTAAAATTTAATAATAAATAATTCATGGAAGCCAATAAATAATTGCTTTATATAATTAGAAGATTATCTTATAGTAACAGTAAATGAACATTACTAATATAGGAACTCACATCATATGAAAAAGGTGTGCCAACAAAAATTTTTTTCTTTTATTTTCTAAGAAACATATGAGTGAAAAATACATTCCATTTAGAAATATTACTCACTGTGATATCCACAAAGTCTTTTGTTCATCTCCTTGCTTTATGACCAAGTCAAAGCAAAATGATACCTGCATACTGTTGGGAAATATACTTTACTGGATGGCTCACAGAATTGTCATAATAAATACACAAAGAAATCTGTCTTTGAAACCTAAACATGCTGAATGATGTTAAATAACAAATGTGTATACAGTGTGAATAGCATTCTCCTGGTTACTGTGCTGTTTCACAGAAGAAACCCCAGATATCTGTTAGCAGCAGCCACTGTGCTGGTGATATGCATGCAGAATGTCTGGAGACTAATGCACCACGTGGTGGAAAGGTTGGTTAAAGCTAGCGCTACTGTTGTTACCATGATTAAAAATAAAATTTAAAGCAGCCAGTTTGATCAGTTTATTCTTCCATTGGTTTTGCTTTCCACTTTTGCTTATGAAGTTATTTCCTTTTTCACAGCATTAATCACCTATAGTGTTTGCTATTTTTACATTAAATTTTTAAGTCTGTTAAATATATTATGCATAGTAATAATCTAAATTTCCATAATAAGTCTACCTATTGTGTAATCACCTCTATTTAATAATTTTTCTCTATTCAATTATGATTCAATTTTCATCATAATTTTTCCTATGCTGGTATCTATTTTTGGAATACCATTGCCTCTATTCATTTGCCATTTATGTACTATCTCACTCTCTGTAACTTTATCATAAATTTGATTATCTGACAAGATGAATCATTACTCAGTATGCCTTGCTTTCCTTTTCAGAAATATTTTTGTTCATTTTTTGTGTGTAACACAAGATTGAAAGTATCGAGATTATGAACAATATTCCACAGATAGATCCAAAAGAACTTCCACTGGATAGCTGTTCCTTAGGACCAAAGCAATACTGAGAAGGAATTTCATTTTTTTTTTTTTTGTCATTTCTACTATCTTGAAGCTGAATTTGTTTTCTGATATTATATCATGTACTAAGAAAATTAAAGTATTAATATACATATGCTAAAGGAAATCTGCACCACTGTGGTGGCTTTACAAGAGCACTTGCTTAGTTTGCTTTTTAGAACATGCTCATGAAATAGGAAGTTTCTGAAAGCATTCTGAGAAAGTAGAATTATATTAATATAATGGTTTCTCTGAAATCTATCCTTTGCTTCACATTACCTTTCACAGAAACCTTCCTCCCACCAATCTTTGTGAAGAGTCAGATACTATTTCAATAAACTTGAGTCAAGATTCAAGGAAGCCTCTGATTTTAAAAGTAGGAGGTTTTGACATAGTTTCATTTTCAGATTTAAGGAGATGTAGAAACTCAAAACAAAATGAAAGCTCTGTAAGTCTTCAAACCTTCATTTTAGAATAAATATTTGGTAAATCCCTTTTTTTCTAATAAAATTTATAGTAAATTAACCTGCCTACATACAGATTTTTAAAAATAATGAGATGCTCTGATTTTAATATTAATGAGAAGCAGAAGGGGAAAATGTGTACATTTAATATGTAAGTATTTGATGCAATCACGCTTAAAAATATATACTAAAACTCATTAGATAGTTACAACTGTATATAGCAGTCACAGTGAAAAGATAGGTGCAAATGAAGTATATGGTATTGTTAACTCAAAATACCTAAATGATATTGATTGTTAATAACACAATATTCAAAACAGTTTAGAAAAAAATAAAAGTTCATCCTAAAACAAGTGGAAGTCTTCTCCTGATTATTATGTAATTGCACACTTGAAAAAGTCCATGTGTATTCAAAACAAGCTAGAGTCTGTGCTCATTTAATTACACACAAGACTTTCTCAATACAACCTAGAACTACTGCAAATTCTTGACATTCCTAAGGAAAAGATCTTCACCACCACCAAATGTGACACTACCATACCACAATGCGTAGAAGACCAGATAACCATGATAATCTCAGGTATGTCAGACAGATAGGTGTGAATGTAGATAGGAGAAAGAGAGATGGGTGAAATACCACACAACATGAGCCCTCAAAAATACTTGGAAATTCAAAAACACAAAGGGAAAGCCAGTCCCCAAGAAATTCAGCCAACAGAATCAACAATCAAAAGACGAAGTCACTCATATACACATCAACCCCTGTACAGCGTTCTTCCAATAAAAGGAACAGAGGAATCTGAAAATGACTTGAAGTCATCCTCAGTTACATCTATAGCTACATAAATAAAATATCCTCACTTACAAGAGTCTGCTCTTTTTCAACAGTGTTTCTACTTATGATTATATATAGGGAATGAATGCTATATAATTTGAGTTAGAATTTTACTAATTCAAACAATATTATTTCAACAGTGTTTTTCTTCATTAAGTCTCCCATGCCACCCATCACGGGGGGGGGGGACTATTTTACACCATTTTATAAAATTTTACCAAATAATATGTCAGCAAATTAACGAGCTCCTAGAAGTTAAGAATCAAGAACCTCAGAATCATCTCACCTAATCCACGTTCATCAGCACCTCAAACCTCTCCATTGCATCTATGACATCCGCCAACCCCTACTTCAGTGAAAAAGGCCAATAGTCTAAATTTTTTGAATGGCCCTAACCTTAAAGAAGTCTTCATGACATTAATTTAGAACTGGACAGACATCAAAGAGAGGACCATAAACCAAGGGACAAAACTGAGTCCGAATCCTGACTTTGCCACTTGCCAGCTGTATGAATGGGGGTGAATTATTTGACCTCTCTAGGTCTCCATTTTACCACCTGGAAGTAGTAACAATAATGACATCTGTGTTCTGCAGTGTGAGAATTGAAGTGTTGGGACAGTTTCTGGAAGGTAAGTTCTGCATGAAGTTTGGCGTAGTTCTTCCTTTGACATTCAGTATCTAACGTAAGCTATTAGAAAATTGCTAATGCTCCACCTAAGGACCGTAGTTCTTGTACAGTTTTTCATACTGCACTTTTTCCATCCTGATCATATTCAAATTTGTCAATGCCTTTTCGAAAACTAGATTTCAATTTCAATCTATATTACTTGTATGTTTGGACCTAAACAACACAAAAGATGTTCACACAACAATTTTCAGTCAATGTCTATTTTATATCTGTGAATATATCCAAAAAACTTATTTTCATAAGGAGTTGGAATCTCAGCGGGTAAAATGAGAAGTTTTTGTTATATTTTCTTTATTTTTCTATGACTAAAGTCAGTACATATAGTGAGTTCCCTGCCACTGGATAGCAAAGACTTAACCTGAATTAATAGAAATCCGTGTTCTTCTAGAGGTGCATTACGAATCTGGAGCCACAGTTCACAGAACTCAGAGTTTTAAGGTTTCAGGGATGGAGCAGGAGCCAGAATATGGCTATCAGTGAGTATCTGCTGCCCACTTCAAGTGTCCTGGTTCCTTTCCAGACTTCATTCACTGTTTACCTGCAGGGTGGTCCTCCACTCTTCCACTCCCCCCAGTATTCCTTTCGTCAAAGTCTACTTACCATCTTGGTTCTCTTCTAAATCACCCTGGACCAGGAAAAAAAATCAACTGTGGGGTACTCCTCTGAGCTAGGAAAAGTTGCTATTTTCAGGCCCTAAGGTCATCTGCTGCCGAAATGTCATGTCACTCTTTGAGGCTCACGTCTCAGAGAAGAGAGGCTTCCTCACCGGGCTAGTGACCAGGACTGGAGCCTGCGTTTCTCCACATCCACATATACTGTGCATGGACAGGGAACTGTCTCCTCTGCTTTCCCTCCTCCGTGGTTAATCCAGCTTTCTGCCAACTTCTTTCTGCCAGGTCTTCCCCTGTTCCCTCCGAATCTCTTTGTTCTACAGGAAAGTGAATCTTTGTTCACCTCTGCAAAGGACATGTTGAGTTCTATTATTCCCAGTACATCTAGGCTCCTTTAAACATCAGCTATGAACTTTAAGTCATTAAAAGCTTGCTTTCTCCAATGGCAGCACTTTCCTGAGAAAAACAAAGTCAGCATCCCTAAACCCCAGGTTGGGTTTTTTTTTAAAGGACAGTGTTAAAGATAATGGGAGACATGAGGGACAAGTATCAGAACTACAAATTTGGTGAAATTCAATCAAATTAAGTCAATTTATGATCAAATAAGAAATACTTTCTCAGCACTTATTCCGTGGGAGGCACTATGTGAGATGCTAATACACAAAGTCCAATAGGACACAAGCCTTGCTCTCAAGAAATTCACTCATCTTTCCAATGCATCTAATTATTTCCAGTCTCTTTTCTTTTGTTTTATTTCAGACCATATTAATTTGGGACTGTGTTATTATAAAATTTTTTTCACCTGTCTCTGTTTTAAACCTCTTGCCTTTCAGTTTTATGTGCTTCCAACTTATTCTTCGCACTTTCTAAAGCATAAATCCAATCAGCTCTTTCTTTTGCTTAAAAATTTATCATATCACAACTACCTTCAGGATAAACTGCCAAGCATGGAGCTTTGTGCTTGAAAATATTATATCTTTTAGTTTTGAAAACAGTTCTACCTGATAGCTGTTATAATCTCATTTTTTACAAATATGCAAACTAAAGCTTAGAAATCTTAAACCTTCTTGACCCAGTCCAAAGAGTGAGAAGAACCTAAATTCAAATCACCTTTCTTTTCTTTAGATTTGTTGCTGTTATTTTATTTTATTTTACTTTTTGTTTTAATATTAATGTCCTAGTCCCTTCATGACACTCATGTTTTCTGGAGAAAGACTGCTGTGTCTACTACAGCTACCCTTATCGCTGCAGTGCTGACGATTTCACTTTGGAAAGCTATTCTTTATATTATCAAAGAGAAGACACTTACCTAGGTGGCCAGATCAGGAACTCAAAGGAGCTGTCATGGTCCATGGATGACAAATGTTGAGCCAATCACTTTTACACGAAATATATCATAGACAAAGATTTAAAGAAAAAATACTAAGTGACTGTTCCAGTTCCTACACAATGATATTGTGAGAGTAGGATGGAAATTCTAGTCTCCTGAATTCTCTGTTCACTGAGGCACGCTGATCCACTAACCAAGTGATGTAAACCCTTCAGGAACAGCCCACTGTAACAAGCAGCTTAACATCTTTGTAAGTTTTTTAAAATGACAATTAATCACATCTCTAGAAGTCTATGATACGGCTAAATGGCAGTTCACAGGAAAACCTCAGAAAAACCGAAGTTGCTTATGACCATAAACTTCACTCAAAGTTTTTCCCACGTGGTTTCAATATTTAGTTGGAGTGACAGTTGGACGTAATGGTTTTCTTTTCTCACTTTCTTCAGAAAGCAATCTATCTCACTACTTCAGTGCTTTCCAATTTTTTAAGCCTTATAAGCCCTTTATATAAAGTTGAAAATCTCATGACAGCATTTTCTCCACTCTCAGATCCTATCCTGACCAATGAACTATGTGTATGCAAAAAATTAATTCTATTTCTTGTGTATTGTATAAGAAAAACATTTCATTTTATTTTTTATATTATTATAAATAAAAGGCTGTTCTATATTTTAATTATTTTTCAAATTTCATTACATCCACTACTCATATCCCATTTTGGACCTCCCAGCTACTAAACCAATGGTATGTTTTTACCTCTTAGTCTGTGATTTATTCTGTTGCATCATTACAGTTCATGTTAAGGCTTGACATGAGTCTAAAGTTGTCTAAATATTTAGAATATTTGTCATGTACAAAAGAAGTCTCAATTATAATAGAAATCAAGTAATAGAGATGAAATGATCAGATTCACAGAATTTCCATGTGGTGCCCAGGGAACCAGATTATTTGGCCTCATACTTTCCACCCCAGACATGTGGAATCTGAATCTCTAAGTCTACAGATGAGGACTCTAATTAAGCACTCCAGCAGAGTCTAGTAGTCTCCGGGATCAAGAACCACTTACTCAGTTTTCTTCCATCATTTGATAAGTGACAGAATTAAAATGTAAAGAGATTGAGCATGACTCACCCAATTCATTGGTCTAATTTCAGTAGCTTTTCAAAATGGCCTTCAGAATTTTATTTTCATTATCTCTACTTATTAAATTAAATTTGTTATTCATCCTAATTTTATTATTTACTCTATTTGATATCTCGCTTATCATAGCAACAAAATATATTTTTACAAACACTTTATCTCTTTTACCCAAAAGTTACTTAGACAATGAAAAAAATGACAGAATGAATATGTTCCTTTGTCTTTTTGACATATGATGTCAACAAATCACCAGTAAAGAAATAAGAAAAAGTATAACCTAGATGGAAGAGGCTTATTCACATGTTTCAGAAGATACAGAGATGGTGGGGTGGTAGATGGTATATCGAAGAGCTTCAATCTAAAATCCATGTGCATAAGGGAATCCTGGTGGATATCATGAGTAGACTTTGCAGTAAAGAACGCTTGAGATATGATCAGTTTATAAAGATAAGAGTTAAAGCACAAAGGGCATATCAATGGCTTGAAATTCCAGATTTCCATTCATGCATCACCTTTCCCCAGTCCTATGTACAGATGACAACAGTCAAATGCCTCTGACCTGCCCTTAACAGCAGAATTTTCCAATGAAAGTAAAAGGGCAAAACTTGTACTCAGAAGCACTAAACAGAGCAGAAGGTGTGGTATGGGATAGAAAAGAGAATGAAGAAATAATCACTGGAAAAAATTACATGCTGAATGAATGAATCAAATCTTTATGTGGCTAGGTATCCACTTCTGGGAAAGAAGTGGGGGATTCATCTCTAGAGTTAATGAATGTCTACCTCACATCAAAATTGCATGTATGTATGTGAGGGAAATGAATATCAACCAATAAAACAGCTAGTTGTAGATCCATGCCTATCACCATGCATTAAAGTCAAAGTGGATCAAAGATCTAAGTATTAAAACAGAAACACTAAATCTAACAGAAGACAAAGTAGGTAGAAATCTTGATGACATAAGAGTAGGCAGAGAGTTCATGAACAAAAATCAAACTGCATGGGAAATATTTCCCAGAATCAACAACTGGGATCTCATCTTAGTAAAAAATTTTTGCATGTCAAAAGAAACTTTCAACAGAGTGAAAAGAAAACCCACAAATTTGAAAAATAGCTTATCCAGTAGTCCCTCAGACAAGTCCTGTAATGTTTACAATGTTTAAGTTTTATTGGTCTTGTTCTCTACTGTTTTGTTCAACTTTATAATAACTAATGAGATAGACAATTCTTCTTAAGGAAGCAAGAGGCATTATGGTAACCATTGTTGATAACCTTGTACTCTGTTCTTACATCATGTACTATGTCTATCCTTGGTTTTGACTGACAGCTTTGTTTTGCCATATTTGACTTTATTCCCTTCCAAAAAAAAAAAAAAGTAATAAGAACTAAGGAATAATAAAACCCAAAATGTGTAAATTTTGTTGTAAAAAAGAGAGAGAAAAAAAGTGCTCTAAAGGATACAACTGCAAGTGTGTTGAGGGGTGTTAAATAGTGACCATAAGTGTGTTGAGGGGTGTTAAATAGCTGACCATATTAATGTTTTTGGTTGGATCATTGAACACAACTTTTGCAGTCTCTCTGTTTGAATGTTCACTTTGTATGCTTTGATACTGTGACTTGAGCAACTATCTCTAAGACGATAATGTGTAATCTATTAACTGGTGATTTCTTACTGTTTTTTTGTTTTTGTTTTTTTGTTTTTGTTTTTTTGTAGTTCTGTATTACTTGTACCCTTACACCGCTTTTTTTTGTTTTTTCTCTTTTTCCTTTTAAATAAAATTAAAAAAAAAAAAACTAGGCCCCCAAAATTCAAGGACCCAATCCAAAAATGGGCATCTGAGGTGTATACACAGTTCTCAGATGAAGAAATACAAATGGCAAATAAAAAATGAAAAAATGTTCAACGTCAATGGTCACTTGGGAAATGCAAATTAAAACAATACTGAGGTTCCATCTCACCCCAGAAAGAATGGCCAAGATCAAGAAATCAACCAATAACAAATGCTAGAGGGACTGTGGGGAAAAAAGAGCTCTTCTCCACTGTTAGTGGGAATTTAGGCTGGTGTAACCACTGTGGAAATCAGGGTGGAGGTTTTTTTAAAAAGCTAGGATTAGAGGTTATATTTGACCCAGTTATCCCACTTCTGGACATTTTCCAAGAAGAACTGAAAACATCATATCACAATGATATATATGCACCTATGTTTATAGCATCACAATTTGTAAAAGCCAAATTGTGGAAAGAATCCAAGTACCCATCAATCAAGGAATGTATAAAGAAGTTGTGATATTTTTACACAATGAAATACTACTCAGCTATAAAGACAGACTGCATCGAGACTTTTATAAGCAAATGGATGTGCCTTGAGACCATAATCATAAGTGAAATAAATCAAACTCACATGTGTAAATACTGTATTGTCTCCATAGTAGAAGAAACTGAAAAAGTAAATATGATCCAAAATCCACAATAAGTACTGTGTAAGAATAAGGAACTGCTCAAAGAGGAAAAGCAATTGGGATCGGGGAAAGGAGGGAAGAAGGAAAGGAAAAGGAAAAGACATAAATTTGTGTGATAGCTAAAATGACTATAATAATAATTGTATTAGCTATTGAAAAAGCTATTCATATGATTAGAACAATTTTGCCTGTCCATATCTGTTATTCTAAGCAACCTTTTTGAAGGTAACAATATGCAATATTACAACCATTGTCAACTCCTATCATCTTGTTTTGTAAACCTATATTGTTATTGCATTGAATTTGATGCTGTTTGTCTCTTTTGGTTTTCATTTTTCTTCCTTGTGTCTTTTTTTTTCTTAAATAGATAAAAATAAAATTAAATAAATAAAACCGAGTTCTATAGCAAATCACCAAAAATGAAGGCAGCTGGAAATTTTTGGTATTGATTTGCCTGGACTGTGTGACAATGTACCACAGACTGAGTGGGTCAAAGAACATAAATTTATTTTCCCGCAGTTCTAGAGGCTGAAAGTCTGAGATCAAGGTGGAAGTACAGTTCATCTCTTCTGACACTTCTTTCTTTGACTTAAAAGTGCTATTTCTCCCTTTCTCCACATGACCGTCCCTTTGCTTGGGTGTTCAAATTCTTTTTTCTTATAAGGATGCCTATTATACCGGATTAAATCTTCTTTAATGATCTCAATTTAATGAGATTACCTCTTTAAAATCGTATCACTAAATACTTCCATACTTTGAGTTTAGGAGATCAATACACAAATTTTGATAGGAACATGAATTAGCCTATAATAGATTTTTAAAAATATTTTAATGTTTTACTAGTAATCATGACAATCAAAGATCACTAGACGTCTTCTCTTATTGAAAGAAGCAAACTCAGCTAGATCAAACCCAAAGAAAGTTAATTTAGATAACCAGCAAAAATTCCAAACACATCAATTAGTATCTTTAAAGAAATATCAGAGAATTTCAAATTTATAATACTAGAGCAGAATATTGGAGAAATCAAAATCAGGAACTTTAATTATTAAGTAATTTAAGTTTTAAAAATACAAATAGGAAAATAGATGGAAGAAAAAAATCAAGATATTTAACCAAAAAATTTAAGAGCCCAATAACATGAAATTGTATACACAGATTGAGAAACTCAATATAAGAAGAGTCAAATCTGATTAATAAGAATTTCAGAAGAGAAAATGGGAAAAAAATGGAGACAAAAGTATCATCAAAACCTAGTACTAAGATTTCTCCAGAATTTATCAGCTACCTGTATTTCCCCCAGACTCTAAGTCTGAATGCCCCTTTTGGCTGCCTGCTTATTATCTCCAGCTGAATATCAAACAGATGTCAAAATTAAATGCCCAAAATTGTACTCCTCTTGTATAATCTCCCAACTTAATAAATTAAAACTTCATTTTCCTAGTTGCGTACATGAAAAAGTGAAGCATATTTGAATGACTCTTGACCCCTCATTCACTCCTGTAATCAGCTGGACAGTAAGGCCTGCCGTGTCTACCTTAAGAATGTCTGCATGATTTGGCACTTTAACTACTTTTACCTCAATCGAGGGCTACTAGCAGCAGCCATCTATCACGTGGCTTGCTGCAATGGTTTCTCGACACTCTACTTCTACCTTAATGCTTTTATAATTTTTCTTCTGAAACAGCC